TGCATGATGATAATTAAATTTTTGTTATTATTATTTTTATTTATTTATAATACTTGCAGATTCATTTTCTACTGATATCTCAACACCTACTTCAAGTCCGCATGTTGTTATCCCAGCACCGTTATCTCATTCAATGTTGAGTCTCGTCTTGCACCAAACCACATCCAATGTCTTCCCAGCACCTGTGTATGTCCTTCATAGCTCTGTCACCATAAATATCTCTCCATTGGCACCTTCATTACAGAGCGGGTACCCAACTTTTTCTACCAATAATCTCCCAAGTCCGATCCTGACAACTGATCCAAATCTTCATCCTAGTTTACAACAAACTTTCATCCTAGTAATGCCCTGTCTCAGAGTTCACTCTATTCACCTGGTGACACTGTCTCTCCTCATAGTTCTAACACTGTACTGTCTACTTCTACCCAAATTGCAAGGGCTGTTAGATCAAAATACTCGTATTAGCTTAGTGAACCCATCTATCAGTAATTCAGACTTAACACCTGTATTCCATAGTATTAATCTGAGTGAAATAATGCCCCTATCTTCCACTGCCACGATCCAAACAAACTCCACCACTGCTGTTACTTTCTATTCGCAGCCACCTGTGATTTCCCCCCACCTAAGCTTGTATACTTCTACTGCTACCCTCTCGCCTTCAGACCTCAAATCAACCAACAGTATGTATCTGTCTGCTAACCATAATACCTTCACACCAATGAACCACAATCCCAGTTTGAATCCTGTGAATCCGACTAACAGTATGTATCTGTCTGCAAACCATAATACCTTTACACCAATGAACCACAATCCCAGTTTGAATCCTGTGAATCCGACTAACAGTATGTATCTGTCTGCAAACCATAATACCTTTACACCAATGAACCACAATCCCAGTTTGAATCCTGTGAATCCGACTAACAGTATGTATCTGTCTGCTAACCATAATACCTTTACACCAATGAACCACAATCCCAGTTTGAATCCTGTGAATCCGACTAACAGTATGTATCTGTCTGCTAACCATAATACCTTTACACCAATGAACCATGAATCCAGTGTGAATCTGACTAACAATGTGCATCTGTCTTCTAACATTAATATTAACTCCACACCTTTGATTCCACACCAGAGCATGTCTGTAACCATGGTAACTGTTGTCTCGGTGATTCATAGTCCGAATGTTGACAGTGTGTCCAGTCTGTATGCATCATCCCCATCCATAACACTGTCTAGTGCGCGTCACTTGCAACACAGCCATAATATGCACTTAATGACACTGTTCACTGCTCCTCTCTTAGCATCATCAAGTTTGCAATTAACGACTCCTATCATGAACCCTACAGCATTGATTTCAAGTCTGACTCCTGCCAGCCCAAGTTTGCACATTGCATCCTCTATCCTGACATCTGCAGCTGTGGTCCCAAGTCTGATCAGTCCAAGTCCGACCCCTGACCTCAAGATAAGTATGACAAATAGTTTAATACAGCCTACGCCATCGCTTCAGTCAGCCGGTTTTGCGAGCCGAACAAACTTCCCGACCCCGTCTCTCACGAGTCCCACTGTTGCTGCAACAGATGTCCCTGTCACCACTGATGTGCCTGCCATCATCCCTACAGCTTCCACCAATGGAGTAGTTCGGACTTCCCACCTTTCAGGGAATGGCGGCAGTCCTGAGCCATGTGACGGGGAACCTTGTGAAAATGGTGGTATCTGTAAGAGGAATGACGTAGTAGGTGAACCCCGTATAAAATGTGAATGTTCTGAAGGATATACTGGTGAGTATGATATGATGTTTTTGTTTTTTTTATTTTTAAGAAATATTTGATTTTACCGGTATGCATTAACCTTTTCAACTCCAGACTTTCTTGCCCAAATTATTCTTCACTTTTTTTCTTATATTCTTCAATATTTCTGGAAATGAACGTTTGGAGCCAACAGACAAAATTTTAGTCAATTTTCAGTTTTTACTCAAAAAATTTGGCTAATTTTAATAAAGTGCAGACTATAAACAGGACTATTTTGTGAATTAGTGATGAAAGAGGAAACTGGTGGTGAAAAGGTTAATTAATACAGGCACTCACTGATAGAGATCTATGTTTTAATATTGACAAAAACCATGTATATACCAGCCAGCCAAAATGAAATAGAGAAATGTTGGCTAATAGTTGATTGTAATGGCTCAATGTAGAGAAGAGATAAACTTATAACGTTGACGTTGAAAACAAAATTTTTCTCAAATTAAAAAAAAAAATTGGGATTCATTGTGGGAAATCTAACATTAAAGTTTGAATGAGTGTTTAAACATTTGAACACCAAAGTTAGCTTTTGTACCATTTACAAAATAAACCTGATACATAATTTTAGCTCCGCTAGGTAGGTAATTGTCTGTTATCATTTGTTGTCCGTCAACAATTGTGACTTCTCAACATCTTGCTTTGATACTTGATATATGTGTACCTTGGATGGACATCTATTATATTATTTCCTTGTGTGTATTAGGGAAACACTCAAGACTGCTGAAACAGCAGAGCTGTTTTGACCGTCGGGTTTCAGTGTTTTTTTGTTTTTTTTAAAAATGTTTATCTGTAACTTATTTGAAGTGATGTACATTTGGTACAAAATTAGAAATAATTTAAGTGAAAAAAATGTTGCATCAAAGTGTTGTAGACACCATTATATTTTGGATCATTTTGGGTGATCAAATTTCAGTTAAAAAGAAATGGAATCTATTAAAAATGTAATGAAATTTGAATCTGTTTTTCAAGTTTTTCATTTACCATACTCCTTAGGTTAAATTTGTATTTATTTGATACACTTTGTAGCTACAGTTCTTGCATGTCTCAGGGATTAGCTAATGTAGATTATTATTATCTTATTGTTATTATCTTATTATTGAGTTTTGCAAGAATGCTACCTGAGTCAATCTGTTCATAATATGATACAGACACATGGTGAACATCTGTAAATAAAAGAATATTTCTGTTTGGTTCATTAATGCTTTCATTTGAAAAGTTGATTGCTCAACAGTGAATATATTCCCATGCTTTTAAGGAGGGTGTCATTGACATTTTTTCATTTAACTCATTGAACAGTTGATCAATTTTAGCAATATTTTTAGAAAAATAGTTGTGGTACTAATAAGTTTTTGAATTCTGAACTTTAATTGTATGTAGGTCTAATGATATTTTCCAATTCAAAATGGATGCCAAGAGTTAGGCTAAGTAGTGTTAATATCATGGCTTTCCATGTAAACTAGTTTCTGCACTGAAACTGTTCTATTTGCCTTTTTCGTTTTCTTTGATGAAGCTTTTCACACAGCGAATTATCACCAATTTGTAATGCTTGTTATCCTCGGGCGGACATTCAGGCATTTTCATCGCCTAGCAACGCCCGGAAAACTGTACCTTAGGATATTTGATGAGACTCTAAACAGTGTTACCCTTATATGTGAACATATATATACACTCGGTTGCTCAAGATTACTTCAATGCTATAAATACATGTTACAGTGGTGCACGTCTTAGCAATGTAGAACGTTCTGTGACGTAGCTCCGCCCCCGAGGATAATAACATTTTGGACCTTAACATATTGAGTATAGTTTTCTTCATTTATCAGGATATTATTGCGAAGACGAAATTAATGAGTGTGCAAGCAATCCATGTGTGGATGGTATGAAGTGTTTGGATCTTGTGAATAATTACACATGTGTTCCCTTGCCGACAGCTGGGGATGCATCGATAACATCGGATACTGAAGAAGATGAGGTAAGTTTCACTTGTACATTTGTTTTCATGCACCTACCAGTACGACTTGGTTTTGAAAACAGTGGCTCCAATGATCAATTCCAAGTGAAATACCTGAACTTTTCAAAAAAGTAATAATTTGATGTAATGTTGGAATTTTAAATTTATTATTGTAACACTACCGGGGTAAATACACTATATACCATTCCATAATTGTTATTTCAAGTGGGTTTCTGTTGTCACTCCATGTAGTCCTGTTCAGTTCAAACTTGCGTGACTTTTTGAAAAATAAATTAATTGAAGTCTTGATGCCCTGTCACCTCGCTTAGAATGGTATTTAAAGTTGTCAATTTCAAGATCAGGTGCAAAAACCCATGCAGCTGATCAAAAGATATCATTCAATTTCTAATTTTCAACATCTTCGGTGATGTGGGCACACTTCACTTAACAAAACACTGAAGATATTCCACTATTCAGTAACTACTGTAAAATACTTTATTTTAGCTGGAATTAATTTTCGCTGAAAAGACATTTTTGATGCTTTGTATGGAATTTATTTTCACTGATTTTTGACAAGTTGAATGTAAAATATAGAATCATTCCTTCAGCGAAAATTAATTCCAAGTGAAAATAAAGTATTCTACAGTATACAAATGTATTATCATGGCATGTTACCATTTCATAAACCTACAACTTTTAAGGTGATCAATTTGTCCATCATTTATACATCATTTCGCTAAGTGACACACCCTTATTAAAATGGTTTGATCTAACCAACTTTAATCAAGTAATGATCTCAAGACATGCTCAGCAAACCAGTCAGCAATTAATTCCAAAACTTGTAATATTGCTGCTTTGGTGTCTGAAACAATATGGCAGTGACAGTATAATCCGTGAAATAAAATGGCCGTGCTGACTGGTCAATTTAGATTTGAATAAGCTGTAGTTAGTAGATACTTTACTTTCTTCCTCTTATCCATGTTTCATTTCATGTAATATTTTCTCTGTAGTCTATGTCTGAGATGATGGTGATCGTCATTGCAGTCTGCTGTGTAGCTGTTATATTCTGCATTGCGTGGACTGTGTTCTTCGCTTGGTACACCATGCTGGACCGAGCTGGAAACCGGACGTTGACGTTACCCAAATTTAAAAATCCATTAAAAAATTCACCCATGCAGAAATATTACAAAGATAAGAAATCTGATAAACAGAATGGAGATCAAAGTCAGACCACGGAGGTGTCGTCACATGATCATATGGGGGTGAGTGTATTATTTTTTGTTATTTACTAATGAAAACATTTTCTTGGATCATACATGTACATGTACAGAATATTAAAAAAAATATTTTTGAATACATAATTAAAATTACGAAAGTCTAATCCATCAATTGATTGAAAGCGAGTTTACACATGGCAAGTCATGGGGTGATGAGTAATAACGTCACCTGAATGGAATTAATTCAGGCAAATTCTCCTTGTCACCAGTAAGTTGCTTCAAGAGCAGCCTCATGTAAAACGGCTTTTAGAATTGACCATGGATTTTAACAGACACAAATCCATCACATCTTCCATATCATGTCTATCATACGCTGTAATCAATTCTTCATGGATGAAAATATAAAAACTTGAAAAGCATGAATATTTTTCACTGATTCTATCGGTGCCAACAATTTTCTATTTTTAAATTGAGTAGTTTCTCTTGTTTTTAATAAACAAGAGAAACAGTTTGATGCCAAAAAATGAATCAACCACTGTAGTACTAACAGTGTAGTAAAATGATGTAGAGAAGTGTCAGTCACTAATAATTATAACATACATGTGTAATTATCTTTCCATGATCAATGTTTTTTTTACTCCCTGTTCGGAATTACCGTAAAATCTGTTTTAAAAGTCGCATTCCTATTAGAAGTCGCATCCATTCTTTTTGAATAATTGAAAACCAAAAAATCGTCATTTCTCATATGTGTAAATGCTCTATTAGAAGCCACATTCCCTCAGTTGAATTGTACCATTTTAACAGATTCTAATACAAATTTTACGAGGACTTTTAGATTGGATGTGACTGGGCTGATGACAGTCAAACTTCATAAGTACATCATGTTACATATATGCACATTTGTTTGACGAATTAATTCAAGATAGACCATCTTGAATTAATTCGTCAAATTCGTTTATTGTTGAAATTGATCAAAATCAAGCATTTTTGCCATTTATAGTCATCCATGGATGGATTTTGTTCAAACTTGGTAAATACATCAGTCATACTATAATGAGATCTTGAAGCATATCATCTTGTTTTTCAGATCAAATTCAAAATGGCCTAACAATCACTTTCTGCATATTTGTTTGATGATCTGATTCAAAATGGCCAAATGACGGCCATTTTAATTTTCAAATTTCACAAAATCAAGCATTTCTGCCATTTCGGACCAAGATCACAGTTATAAATGGACAGCTAATGTCTATCTCGGTACATACAATGAACAGATATATATATATATACACACCAGGACCATCATTTTTTTCACATCAGATTCAAAATGGCCAAATGCAAATGCTGTTCAAGAACCTCGTCTTTGACAAATATTGTTGCATTTCTGAATGCAATCAAACTTTAATACATTATGTAATTAGTTTTATGTTCTGATTCAAAATGGCTGACTCATTTTAGTTTTGTTGACTATTCAACTAACAGGGACTATGTCATGACATGACTTGTTAATTAAAATACCATTACTGATGTGTTGGTCTACACACTATTGCCTCTTCCATATATGTGCAGCTCTATTTTGCATTGTATGTATAATGCAAGGTGCACATATTGAAATATTGAAGCATATTTTATGCCTGATTATGCAAACTTACAAAAAATTTAAAACAAACTTCATTTTGGAAAACTACTTAATTAAGTTAAAAAATAAAGAACTGAAAAGTACCCTAACTAAATTCAGACTGAGCAATCACAGTTTAGAAATTGAAAAAAGAAGACCCAACAGAATCAAAAGTAGCGACAGAATGTGCAAATTGTGTAATAAAAATGATATTGAAGATGAACATCACTTCCTCATAATATGCCCAGTATATAGTAAAGAGAGGGTCATTTTATACAATGAAGGTGAAATGATTTACCTCTGAAAATAAATTCATAAAAATAATGTCAAACAATAACCTGACAATTCCTCTGGCACAATATCTAAAATACAGCTTTGTTATTAGACAGCAGCACCTACTTAGTCATTGACTTTTTTTTATA